TACCAGATTTAGAGTGGAGGGCTGGCTGAACTCGCTACCTCGATATTGGGGGTTGGTCACAGTCTCAGAACAATGAACAGCTTTCAAACATCTGTCCATCATTCTACTGACACGAGTAGGGACTGTGCCAACGTCATATCTCCCTCTACCCGTGATCACAGGGATGTTAAAAGACCCCCTGCTGGGCAAACAGGCCTTCCACTCCATATCCAAGAGAAAGAAAAAGAAAAATAGAGACCAATTAACCTAAATTAATAAACCAAACAAACTTAGATACAAAGCAGGTACATGAATCAAATATATGCAATAAAACAGGAAAATTACAAAAAATAAAAATCCCAAAATTATGAACCCCCTGTGTAACATTAAAATAAATTATTGAGAAATCACATACTAAAGCCCCATATATAATCCTGATCCTCCCTCCTCCTCCACACAACCTTGTCCATTCAACAATGTCTGTTTCGATATTATTTTGAATATTGGTGTTAAAGATGATGTTGAAGGAAGAGTAAGAGTAATACTTGTGGAGGTGAGCCAAGTTGTTTCAGTCGCTGGCCCTTGTGTGGGGGCAGAGCGTCTTTGCAGATGGTCCAAGAAATGGACCCTCGACCTACAGAACTGCGGCCACAGTTCCAATACGGATTAATTCTGTAAGTCAAGGGTCCACTGTACTTTCAAAAAGAGGCATTTTAATGGTATACAAACAAGATGGGTTTGTGAGGGCATGCAGAAAATCTTTTCACTAAAAGTCACATGGACCCTCGACCTACAGAACTGCGGCCACAGTTCCAATACGGATTAATTCTGTAAGTCAAGGGTCCACTGTACTTTCAAAAAGAGGCATTTTAATGGTATACAAACAAGATGGGTTTGTGAGGGCATGCAGAAAATCTTTTCACTAAAAGTCACAACTAAAAAGGATGAACATGGCTCTTGAGCAATTTAGACTTTAATCATCATATGCCATCAAGTCAATACTGACTTATGATGACCTTTTTCAGGGTTTTCCAGATATATAATACTCAAAAGTGGTCTATCATTCTCTTCTTGGGGGGGGGGCACCCCGGGACTGTGCAGCTTTCCCAAGGCAGCACAGGGTGGCTCTTTTGGGATGCACAGAGGGGAATCAAAGTCCAAACCTCTGGATCTGCAGCCAGATACCTAAACCACTGAGCTATAGTCCCAAGTTATTTATTCTGCTTGTAGTTGGCAAAGAAGCATGCATTTGGAACATGGATGAGAAATGCATAACTAATAGCCCAAGACCCTCCAATCACAATAAAATACAAAATTGTGCCCCAACAGAAATCTACAGAGTGCAATTCTCAAATCTAGGGCTATTTCTGACATGGGGGGGGCAGAGTTTCAGGAGTTAATAGTTTCTGGTTGCTCACAAGTACTCTTTAATGCCTCTGTGCCAAGAGGCCAAAATATGTGTCTCAGGATATTGACGCCTTTTGAAATGCTAAGCATGTCTAGTGTGTTATAGCTTCTACATTAGGCATTCAATTGCATGATCCCTTAATAATACAATTACAGTAATTGATGCTGGTAGCCTTTATTATGCAACATTTAGTACAAATAATTAACATGAAGACAGCATTGTGTGGAGTACTGATAAAGCTGTATTCAGCTTTTATCAGCTTGAGCAACAATGCTACATACACCACTTCATCAAAAGAATAATCTCGGGAGAACATTAATTTTGCCTGCAGGGAGGGCTGTGAGAAGTAGCAGGTCTTTGCCATCATTACTGTTCTGGCTTCAGAAATCTGTGGGAGCAGATACGATTAGCCCCAAGAGTATGATGGAAGCTGTATTTGAAAAACTGGGTTGTAATCCATGAAAGCTCACACTGCAATAGATTTCTAAGTCTTAAGGTGCCCCAGTACTTTTGTTTTTATAAGGATCTCTTTATAAGACCCTCAAGAGGCAATAGCCAGAATCTTATTGGGTGTGCACAACATAAAACCCAATGTGACATAACTAATCTATTTCTTGCCGTCTTCAATTATATTAACATTGTTATTTTATTTTATTTTATATTGTTATTATTTTATGGATTGTTGTTAGCTGCCCAGAGTAGACTTCGGTCTAGATGGGCGAAGTATAAAATAGTTAACTAACTGGTGTGCATGATCACATGATATCATGTGCTCACGTACACACAAGCCACACACTTGTTTGTACTCCTGGGCACGTGACAGTCAGCCAGAAAATTTTAAAAACTGCTCGTGCAATTTCCCTTACTTGCATGGTATTTTGCAACAGGTTTCTGGCCATTATGATTCCTTAAGCATTGAGATCCTCCATCCAACAGGTAAGCCTGTGATGGGTGCCTCTTTTTCAGACATGACAGGATAAGCAGCTAAATAGCAGCTTCAAGACTGCCCTCCTGCTCAGGTGGGATGGAATGCTAGACATTCTGGCATAAGTGTCAAGGAAAGATCTATGTGCAGCTCTGAGGTGGGAAGAAGACACAAGAAGTGGCCTGATCAGTCTAAAGGCCTACTTCGCCCACCATCTCTCCTTCCTACACATAGCTAAGAATATGCATTTATGAAACCCAGAAAAAGGATGGCTGTAGGACTGCTCTGTTTCCCTTCCCCAGCAACTGACATTAATAAGTACAGTGGTTCTGATTTTAGGTGTAATATATAGAGCCATAATGACTGGTCACTACCGACAAGCCCATAAACTCAGTGAATTTGTTGCCTCTCGCTTTACGGTTGGTAGCCATTGGTACATTTCATGGTAGGTACTTGATACTTTAACTATGTGGTGTGTGAAGAAATCCTTATTTTATTAAGTCCTGCATCTTCAGGACTTTAGCTTCAGTGGATGACCCGAGGTACCAAAATTACAAGGAAAAAAACTCTATCCACACCATCCACGATTTTACAAATGGCTATCATGTTCTCCTATTCCTCTCTTTTTTCCTACTCCAAACAGATCCTAACAATATATTTATTTTATTTACAATATTTTTTAGCCACACCATTGCCAGTGGCTTCCCTACTGCTCTTCTGTACATTTCCAGATGTCCTTCATTCACTTTGAGACACAACAACCAAAATTATATGAAATATTTGAAGCCTTGTCTTCCCAATTACGGCTAAAGTGTGCTGCTTATATATTGCTTTGTAGTGCTTAAAGTTCTCTCTGGGTGGTTTACAATTTAATTATGTAGGTTACATGTTGCCCCCTCCCCCAGCTAGCTAGCTAGTCAATTTTCCAACCTTGAGCTGGCTACCTGAGCCCAGGATCAAACTCAGTTTGTGAGCAGAGTCTTGGCTGCAGTACTGCAGTTTAACCACTGCACCACAAGGCTCCTCCTAATGGCTGAATGAAGGCAATATGATGTTTGTAGATTTACTTCCAACCATTTCCCTCATGATTCTTAACAAGGAGTTTGTCTCTTTCCCCAGCAAATGGACACCCCTCTTTCAGCTGCACCCCCACAAGACTCTTGTACCACCTTGAAGACTAACAACTTTGACATGGCACAAGCATATGTGGATGGAAGCCCATGCTTTTAACTCCCAGGTGGTTATTTCCTTTTTTACTGTTTGGCTTGGTTCTACCAGGCCTGCCGTCAGTTCCCCACAACCTCAGACAACTGCTAAAACGTATGGCAGGATTCAGCAGCCTATTATCTGAAACCCCATCAGAACCCCAGGGGTTCTGCACAGTGGGTTCATGTTTCCGTGGAGTATCTGGTGTGATGATCTCAAGATTTCATTTGCACTCATAAGCATGTATTTGTACACTTCACAACAACTTTTCCTCTTTATATTTCCCTCCTTTGTCCTATATTATGGCATAAAACAGACTCAGAAGCTCCCAAAGAGTAACTGAATGACTTATTTTAATGACTGAATGGCTGGAAATAGTTTGCCCCCATTGTGCACCTCAATTATGGCAGCAAAAGATGATAAGGAATGATAAACAGAAAAAGGCCTGTATGAAATCATGGACCTCTTCTGCATAGTCCCCTATTGCTTAAAATTGGAGGTAAAGACAGAAAATTGCAGCTTTGATACTTACCTGTTGCTTTAGGTACTCTTAGGGGTTTGTAACTTAAGACATCTTGTCTAATACGTTTTGCAGCCATGGAACCTTGCTGATTTGTTAACCCGCTGCTTGATGCTGAACTGAGAGAAAAAGTTAGAAGAGGTCTGTTTTTAGCAAAAGAGTACTAAACCACCATGCAGTATTTTAACTCTTCAGAACAAAATCATGGTATAATGCAGGAACCAAGTACACCTCTCAGCAACAACACAAATGTAATCCACTGTGTTTCAGGTGTTCCTTTAGAATCTAGTCTAAAAATTCTGTCCAAAATTCCTTCTCTAAAAATAAACACCAATAGAACTGCATAGATATCTGAGCTGTGATCAAGTCCAATATTTTCCCTGGTCAAGGAATAATGATGACTGGCTTTAATAGGACTTGCTCAAAAGCAAATGTCCTATGACAGCACTCTTTGTTGCATGAAATTCAGCCAAAGTTATTCTAGATAAGTCCTCTAAGCCCTACTGAAAAGGGCAAGAAACTGTGAGAAGATGCTCTAAGATCTTCTGGATTCCTTGCAGTCTCAGGCCCAGTGATTGGACTTCCACAACTTTAATGCCTTCTCACCCATTGCTAAATCTAGACATATGCTTCTGTTAAAGATGAAAGCTGAAATCCTCCAAATGTAATGGAGATATTGCAATAAAAGAAATACTGCAAGCTTTTGCCATAATTGCAGCCACTAAATAAGCTTCAAGATGGCAGCTCCCCAAACTATTTGACACTTTTGATAAGTGACATGCAGACTCATTTCTCCTGCTAAACTCAATACCTGATCCTTCTACATGCCCATCTTTCCCCACAGATCATTCAGCCTAAGACAGGAACAGGCAAGGCTCCAGTGGAAAATACTGGATTTGTTTGTCTGTTTGAAGATGAAAACATCCTCCTTTCCCTGTGAAACCCAGTGTGAACCCGCTACGTAACTTCTGAGAAGGAAAATACTGTGGTGACAGATTTAGCACACTGACATTAAGCATTACCATACCTTAATAGCTTCCTTTTCCTTTCAGCAGCAGATGTCATAGCCATGTACGATGGCTTCTCGTGTATGGGCCCTGGCTGCCTGTTTAAGAGTGAAGGGAGCCCAAGTCTGAAATAATAAGCAAGGAGTCACAAAAACCTACCAGGAATTCTTTTGAAACCATGGCAGTACATTCTATGAAATGCAAATAGAGGTATGTTGGCAGTCTTGACCCCTACATGACAATATTCACCAGGAATATTGGGGAGAAAAAAACATATTCTTGCTATTTCATTTATGTTTAAAGTTTCTATTCCAACTTTCTATTGCAGTGACAATATTAATTATACACCATCATCTCAGATCATCCAATCCATGTACAATTTTATATGTGCCAATTTGCCTTTTTCCTATACTAAAAATTAAAACTAAACAAAACATATTTTTCCTTGAAGGATTCGCAAGCCCTTGGATCAATTTTGTTGCTTCCCTGAACTGCTGGCAGCTGTTCATTACCTTGTGGAGATGGAGCAACCACTTACACCTTTTATTTATAGAAAGGCATTATGATGCTGGCAGATTTATTTCAATCCCTAATATAGATTTTGCCATTTTCACCACTACCACATGCAAGCTGACATTTCATTTTGCTGTCCAGCAAACAAGGGCATATGTGGTTAGGATTGTTTTGTCCCAATATACATCACTCACTGTTCCTTGCCTTGAACTTCATCTGCTGGTTTTGGTGCCCTTTCATCCAGCCTGGAGAGCTGTCTTTGGGAGTCAGCCAGCATTGTACATTTCTACTCAAGCACTAAAGCTGTTCCTCCTCCCCTCCTCCCTCATTCACATCTGCTCTAAAGAGTTCCCCAACCCAATGGAGAAGATCTGTGGAGAATACACGCAGTATAAAAGTGAATCCATTCCAGAAGTGTCCATTCTGCTGGAGGATGCATACCACTGGATTTTCTCCTTCTGATTTATCACAGTTTTAATATTTCAGTTATGCCTGCAAAATATGCCTCCCTCTATTCACTTCAGTAGGAGTTCCAGGACAGGTCCTCGCATGACCTCATGGCTTCTTTCATTCTACTCTGGCAGCTACTTGCTTCTACCCCAGCTCCTTGTTCGTTTGGGTTACTGTCATGTTTTGGCAGAGTTTATGTTCATTAACTTTAACTTGTAAAGGGAAAGAAGGGTGGGAAGAGAATGGGACACCCTCCAGATATGTCACACCATAAGTTACATCACTCCAACCAAGAGGCATGCTAGCTGGGGAGAGATGGGAGGTACAGCGTAATACATCAGCCGGGCACCACATGAGGTATGTTGTTTTAAATGACTATTGCAAATTTACAATTATACATCATAATATGACCTAGGGGTGATGATAATTCGGGGGGGGGGGGAACAGTAGCAAATGCAACTTTAAAAAACATTTAAAACTGGAAATGAAAAGGAGGAAGGAGGAGGAAAACAGCCAAAATAAGAGTTACCCGCACTTCCACCCAAAATACCTTTGTAAAACACTGTTGTTGTTGGTTGACTTTGACTCTGATTTGTTTCTGGCTACATCTGAAGGGTGATCTGTATTGTCGAGGTTACTTTCAAAAATAGTAATGGTTGTGTTCATATGGTCTGTAAATTCCTTGAGGCTGTCCTGCTTTAATGGCTTCTGGGTGGGGGCAGAACATCTGCTTGTTTCTTGAAGATCTGTTGTATGCAAAGCTTGCTTTACCACAGTCTTTGTACATAAGCTCTCCACAGGCTTCCTGCAGTCCTCGGGGGTATAAGCAATGGGACGGAGTGCTTTACTCAGAGAATCTGTCAGGTGATCGGGGCTGGACGGACTGGACTGTTTAGGACTTTCAACTGTTGAAGGAGACGCCATCAGTTTCCGCCTTGTCCTTTTGTGAAGAGGTACCCCATATTCTCCCTCTTGTGTTATATTTCTCTTAATGTTCTCTGAAGAAGTACCTGTGATAGGAAAAACCACTGGGTTGGTTGTGCAAATTAGAAACCGAAAATACTTGCCAAATTGTGAAAGCAGTGATGACAGAGGGGCTGTTTTTGTGTTCGCACAATGAATACAGTCTTCTATATGCTTGCTGATTATAGCAGGCAGTTTTACAAACATGCTTTCTGAAGTGTTTACCTTCCAGCATTAATTATCATCTTTTGGGGACTGGGAAAACATTTTAGTTGAGGGCTTCCAGATATTGTTGCATGGAAATTCCCATCAGCATTAGCCAATTACAAGGAATACTGGGAATCATAGTTCAACAGCATCTAAAGGACTGTTCTTTGGTCACTCTTGATGGAAACATTCCTGACCACAATAATTACCTTTGCTTTTTGAGATGGCATGCATGGATGTTTAAAATAATAAACCATGAATTAGATATTAGATCTTTAAATCTATAAACAAATTACAGAACTCTTTTACCATATCCAGTGAAGTTTAGCTTCTAAGGAAGCATTCCCAGCATCTGTGGGAGGGCTGTTGACACTGGCAGAAGACAAGTAGGCATTTCAAATTGATTCTGACCATGGAAGATGACTAAGTGAGGAGCTTTCTATGTCCCCACAAGTTCTTCCTAGCAGCAGCAGGAGGAAGGAGCAGAATCTGTTCAGGGAAGCTGAGATTATGTACCCATTTTCCTGGGAAATGCTATGCATCGTTGTAGAGATGCAAATAATTCGGCTTCAGTATCTGAATTAAAGAGGAAGAAACAGTGGGGGTCCTAATGAAGCTAATTCCTTCCAATTTTAGCCAAAAGGGTCTCTGAAGAGGTAATTGCATAAAAGTAAGGCAGCCTAGTCTTCTTTGCAGTTCAAGTACTAGAAAGACGTGTGTGGAGAGGCAACCTCAGTAATCAAAGCAACGCAAAGGTGGAGATCAGACCTTAGCCAAATGTATAGCCAGGAAGGCACGTGGCTGTGGTGGAGGCAGGAGGACTGGATGTGCTTGAAGCAAACCGTGACCCCTGTAATTTTGTAAACCAGTAGCTAAGGTGAAGGTCATGACAAAAAACAGTGTTTGCCATACCTGTGAAACTCAAGTGCCAATCACTGCTTGGCTCTTACGTTTTACCTCAGCAGGATTTCAGTGAGAACTGAGAGAAAGTTAGGAACCCCCCTCTTCTTTTGATGTCTCCTCCTACCTGAGATAGCAACAATATGGAGTGAATCACAAACACACACAAACACAAATCCTCAATTTAGGTGCTGGTGTGGATTTGCAACTTCCCTCTTAGATGGCAAGTCTGCAGCAGGTATAAGGGAAGTTGAGCAGATACGTATAAAGTACATAAGGTAAAGATATAAAGGGAGCTGTGAGACAGACATCTGCCCTCAGACAGATTGGACTGGTGAGGAACAAAAGGTCAGCAATCTTTCTGAGGACACACCCAAACCTTTTCACTAGCATGCTAGGGACTCCTGCCTGGAGTTAGTTTCCTTAGAGCTGTTTGTATTTTACATTCTAACCATCATTCTGTCAAAGAACTTGAGCCCCAACGTGATAGAAAGTAAAAGTTCCAAAAGCCCACTTTTCCCAAGGGAGATGTGTATATGTTTACAAGCATTCAGTTATTATATTTATCATTTATGATAAATTAGTAGGTGGAGGGACAGGGGATAAGGAGAAGCATTGAGGCCAGTGCCCTGCTGTCTATACATGGAACAGAAGAGTATTTCAGTAAATGTTCCCTCGCTCAGGCAGGCTTTCTATTACTTGCCAGTTCTTGTCTGCCAGAGTTTGGGAGGATGCTTATGCAACTGACCTTCTGCTCTGTGTTTAGGCAATATGGTACTGGCCTGTGGCCAAAGATTACTATTAGGATGCACAGAACTTTGCAGAGAGACAATCCAAGACATGTAGGGTTGGTAGGAGGTGGCATATGATACTTGCAGGAGGATGTGGGGGGACTAACGGTGAGTGCCAGCTTAGTCACTGACTTGGTAGCCCGTGTCTCACCTAAATAATTTGTGTGTACCACTCTTTGAGAATCACAGCATTGAAGTTTGTAGGAGTGGGTGAAAGTTGAAGATAGACACACAAGGCCCAGGATCACAAAGCACTAATACTCTTATTAGCTTTCAAACATTGTAAGATGAGAGATGATGTAATATATTGGTTAACATCTTGGGCTTTGAACAGGTTCAAATGGCTATCTAGCAACAATTTTCACTGGGTGAAAGAGACCAAAGTTATTAATCTTTAGAACAACCATTAGATCCCGGCCGTGAATGCCTCCGTGAATACATTATTAATCTTTTATCTGTTATACCTATATCCCACTGTGTCTTGCGTTTCCTTTATAAATTCAGGCATATAGGCCATTCTGATATCCTTGGAAAACAGGTAAGTATATAGATTTTAACTGCAAAAAATAAATGAACAGTGACTGCTAAACTCAAGTATTGGCAATGTTCTCTATTCTGTGGATCACTTTCTAAAGACAGGAGTGGCCTTCTCTCTGGAGTCGTCCTGATGTACCATACTGCAGACCAGACCTCTGATAATTTTGTGATGTGCTTTGAGAAAAGTAAATGCAAGGCAGTGGTGTGGGGAAAAAAAGGAAAGACAGGACTAATATATTAATTTGTCGATGTGTATCTCTACAGTTTCTGGCAGTACAAGGTTTAACACTATAATCAAATGTAGCTGAGCTGCCTTGCCATATTAGACAGCTACTATAAGGATGTCTGATTTATGGTAAATATCACACCATGGTCATGGGAAATAAGACAAGGGCGGGGAACATGCAGACCTGGGCATGTTGTCAAACTTCAATCCCAATCAGCCCTTGGTAGCCTAGCCAGTGCCGAGGAATGATAGGTGTTACAACTCAACAACACCTGGAGAGCCTTGTCTTCCCTATGTAAGAACTCAAGGGCTAGAAATATAAGGAAGCAAAAGACATCACAGAAAGCTTATTATAGACTGTTAGAGTAGGTGTCTTGCTTTTGATTCATTTCCCTATTTGTCCCCTTGTTATTTCAAACTCATATGAATACAAGGAGCAACAAAGTAGGTGAATCCCACTTCTATCGTGTTCTTTTCACAGCTGTCACCATTAGCAGTTATTCCAGCAGCAGGAGGAGAGAAGATGCTAAGCAGGCCATTCCACCACTGATGCTGAATGATCACATTTCCTCTCTCTCTTTCCTCTCTACCCATCCCCTAATTTATGTCTTTAGCCTGTACATGGACTGTAGTGTTTCTATTAAATCCATGTATGTAATTCTTGGAAGTTTTTTTTTTGGGGGGGCTGAGAAGTAAGATAAAAATGCTCAAAGTAATAAAGTCAGAGGTGATATGGATAATTACTCTCATATCCAGGAGTTGAAGGAGTACAAACCTGATCTCGTTGGACTCTGTAAAATAATATGTGTGTTGGATGAATCCGCAACCGGTTCATGACCCCACCCCCAAAAGTCAAGGATAATATGAAGCTCTAGACAACCAGAACCAAATGGCTAAATTTAACAGTAACAGCACACAAACTAGTGGAATTATGCTTAAACATGGAGTGTGTCAGAAGCTACAAAACAGCTTTGTATAGTAGCGGGAAGCAACAAGATAATAGGATAAGTATCTGCAGGAGATGATTGACAAATAACACAAATCTCATATGAGATCTATCTGTCAGGGAAGTGGGCAGTGCTAGTGACAGGTTAAAAAAAATCTTCAGAAAACTCATCCAGTTAAAGGATAGCTATTCATAACAAGTAGACACTGATGCTGGACATATCTTTTGAGAAAGGAGAGCCAAGTTTTAAAATAAGAGGCAGATCTGCAGCCTAGAAAACAATACACCCCAGAATGTTGGGAAAGCTGGCCTCACCATGTCATGGATTATGACCTCAGTGTACAGTCATTGTAGTTATGCCTGCAAAAGGACTCTTAGTGGCTATATTCTTAAATTTACACAGTAATTGGGTTCAGATCATAACTCTGAACATATAACTATTAACTCAAGGCAAACCCAGACAACTGTATGTTACAACAGGAGCAAACGCTCCAGGGCCCACAGTGGTTTAGAGAGCTGCGCTATTGCTATACTGTATTCATATTGGCACTGTTTTAGCTCTTCAAGTTGCATTACCTGAGTAATGGAGAAATTATGCATGGGATCAAGCTGTTAGTTTCACTGAGGATACAGAGAGGAAAATATGCCCCCACACAAGGATTTTTACTATTTATTGTAGCTGCGGAATGGTTTGTGTATGTCTGTTTCATTCTTTCTGTTTCTATGCCCTCCCTCCTAGCATTTGTTGCATGTGTTTCTTAAATTGCTCCAGGTCCCCCAGCCACCTCAGTTCAACCTTAACTCTGGACTGGGCAAAATATGGCTCTCCAGAAAGTGGGTGGCAATCCCAGGCCTTCCTCATCCACTGTTCTTTGCTGTACTTCAGTAACCTCCAACCTACAGTTGGCTGCGTAACCAGGCTTTTCCTATCTAACCAGGAACAAAACCATTCTTTATAAACATTTATTCAGATACTTCAGAACACCCACCAATTCAGACTGATGTCTGGCTAGAAATATTTCCATCATTTCCCAGCTTATATATTTTAGCCCTTAAGAAATAGACACTGTGTTTCTCCAGAAAAGACCTAGCCCCTTCAAAATATTTTTCATCCAAAACACCAAGGCACTCCTAACATCTTAATCTAGGCCCCTTCCCAAATGTCAACAGAATGCTGCGTCCAGGGAATCCAGTACAAATCTTTCAAATGACTATCCATTAAATATGTTAGGCAACATTTTAAAATATTAATGTATGAGGTGTTACTCTAACGTGCATCTGAAAGTTTGTGTTTCAGGGAAAAAGAGAGGTTGGCAGGCTACAGGTTTGTGTTTATACATTACAGCAATGAGTTTCCATTTTCAGAAGGGGAAAAAAGTTTGTTTACTGTAAAGCACCGGTGTTTGGCTAAATGTCCTAAGAGCAACTGGGAATGAAGTC